TTTTGTTCATTTCACAAATGATTGTTAATTACTGTAAAAAATATATATTCACAAAGTGAACAAGCTATGTGGAAATCTACAATGTCTATGATCAAATCGCAATATACTGATGATTTGTTTTAATAGCTATGTAGAGGGACCCATGAAAGTGAAATTGGAGTATTTAAGATCAATTTACAATTAATTGATAATATAGGTATAAGAAGGGTGAAAACCTTAAACTTTTCCTTAACTCATCCCATGCCTGGTAAAAGGGTATGATTGTATTAGGTACACAGCCAACGTAAAATTTTATCAAAACCCATCATGAATCCTGCTAAACTTATAATTAGGAAAAAACTAAAATGATGATGATAATAATAATAATTTATGAAACATATCATTTCCTTATGTAATTCATCTTTTTTTTTTTAATTTACAGCAACTTTCAACATCATACTATTGAAGAAAATATTTCCCCATGCAAAACTAACTACACCAATTTTTCAAGTACGTTCTCAAACAAGGGAAAACTGATTGCTCTGATTTTCCAACTAAATTATCAAACTAGCGAAAGTGATTGCACCAACTTTCTCAATGTTTCCAAAATCCCAAAATTCTCACATATTCTTGATGAAATAGTACAAAAAAGTATCAAATAGAGCTACAGTAGGTAAGGGACTGGGTCGTGGTGGTAGCACTCTTATACCTAATACCATGTTGTGGTTTCCAACCCTGCTGAAACCACCCACTCACACTTTAAAAAAAGCTAACTCATATAGGATTCTATGGAACCCTCAGCTTGCATAACGGAATTCAAAATAACGATATCCCACTCAAGATTGTTTACATAATTAGCTAAATGCGAAGTAAATGAATACAACTATAAATCGAGTGCAAAAAATAAATTAAACATAAAAATCACACTACAACAATACACAATTTATGTGGTTCACCCATAGGGCTACATCTACGGCCTCAGCAAGTCGAAATCCACTATCACAATGAAGATTATAGGTTTGGATTATAAGAGGCAATACCTATCTCTAAACATTGGTAAAAGACAATCACCGATCTTCCTTTCTAAATCTGCTCTCCCGACTGAACAACACCGCTACTGGAAAAATAACCTCAAGAGCAACCGATAGACTTTCTCTCTCTAGAAGTGAAAGTTAACTAACCCAAAATCTATAGGAATACCGCCTCTCTCCCGGAGGTCATGTCTCTCTCGCTTGGAGACCCATATTCAACTCGAAGATCCCTGCCCATACCCCCAAAGGGGTGACTCTCAAAAGGATGAGTATTATGTTTTCCATGATCCACTCTCATAGATATCATTTTAGCTTCTTTCTTGCTTCCCATGAAATTTTTTCTCTTTTTTTCATAATACCGTTAATCTATTAATAAAAATACAGGAATGGTGATTTTGATATCACCAAACCTAACAACTCTCTAATTTATATGAAAAAATAGGTAGAGGCATGCCTTCCCCATTGAATTACCAAAAAAAAAAACAACCACACAGTTATACTATAGTCTCTAGAATTTGGATTGAAGTTAGGTACAGCTAGGATGGAAATACAGTACTTAGTTACTCTCAAATTACAAGCAAAAGTCCATCTCATCCCACTACTTCCCCATAATGAGTTTGTCAGCGTATTACCGATGCTTGGTTGCAAAGGAGCTAAATGTCAAACTGATAAGGAATGCTATATATATATATATACAAAGAAGCAGAAATAATAATGCATGAAAATAGTTGTTTTACTGGGAGAATGAATTACAATGTGAATTTATTAGAAATAATAGCACACGATATTTTTTTTTAAGAAAAAGTTTATATAGGCATCCACATCATGGAGATTGATATAAAAATATACATAAAAAATTTATTGAAAAAGAATATTTTAATGCTGAAAAACCTTCATATTGATCATATTGACCTCGAGATGTATGACTATAAAAACAAAATTATATTTCAAGTTATAAAAGTATTGCATCTTATTACGCATTATCTGGACCGTTTATTTTCTAAATGTTTAATTGTTTATAAGTATTCTTGATCTACACTATTTTTGGAGGTTTAAATTTCATAATTAATGGTGAAAGAGCCTTTCATGACATCGCAATGCTTTTCAGCACCTGGACTACATCTTTCAGTATAGTTTAGAGGTGCGTGTTACTTGGATTATTCAAGGTTGATACCTTACATAAACCTCTTCCTTTTTTAAAAAAGAAAGTATGTCATATTTTTTATTCAAATCCCACTTTTTTTAGAACATATTATATATTTTAATTTTAGTTTTTTCTAGGTATCACATTGAGCAATTCAATTAGAAAAGAAAAAAACTGCATGATACATGCGCTCTCTGACCCATCAAACGTCCATCTTAAGATGGAAGTTTAAAAAAGTGAAGCACCCAAATAAACGGTGCAATTCAATTTTTTTTCGTTTCATATTCAAGATCACCATCCATCTATATGATGGACTTTACCAAGGGTACTCATAATGCACTTGTGAGTCCAAATACTTGTATAAACTTTGTTTATAACTAAAATACACTATGTAATATAATTTTTAACATCCTAAAATAAAATAACATCTTCTGTAAATTTATTTTTTTATTGTTTAGCCCACCATTATTCGTGCCGCCGTAAGTGTCATGTTTTGCCTTTCGCATTATTTCTGCCAACAATAGGGAAGGGAAGATGAAAAATATATGTGAATTTGAGTTAAAACATAAAAGGCCATCAAACTATTAATGTGTTAGTGTGCGTCCTTCTTAAAAAAGAGTTGTGAAAGGTCGTAGACAGTAAAGTAAAATCATTTATACATAATTTTTATCCCGAGCACACACAATGCAGCAGTAGACAATGCAGCAGTAGACAGTCAAGTGAAATCTAATCTACGAAAGATTTTTATCTATAGACAACGTCGTTGTGGTAAAGGTGGTAATGTCAGATAAATCATTACCACAAAACATAAAAGGGGGACCGTAAAATCAATTTTCAACGGAATGGAAAACACACCTCAGTACGTTTTTTAACATCTCCTAATACAAAAGGGCTCTCTTTATTTTATTTTATTTTATTTTATTTATTTATTTATTTATTTATTTTTTTTTTGAACATTAACACAAACTTCAAAAGGGCTCTCTTCTTCTGAGTTCCTACTACATAGAGATCATGTGAATGTTTCCATTTGAAAAAATGACACTTTCTCTCACTTGAACACGAAAAAAATACAAAGTTAATCGTGTAAAAATATTGTACCCCTCACTTTCTCTCACTTGAACACGAAAAAATACAAAGTTAATCGCATAAAAATATTGTACCCCACACCTATTTTCATCATATAAGGTTGACACCTTAAATTGTAGAATTAAGGTACATTTTAAAAAACGTTAAAAAAAGCTATTTTAACATTAAAAAATATCTAATTGATTATCTTGACATCGAGATGTATGGATACAAAAAAAAAAAAAAATACATCTTACAGCGCATTATCTGAAGAATTCATTTTCAAACTTCATGCATTTATAGATGCGCTTGATTTGAACTATTTTTTCAACTTAATATTTACATTTAGATATGAAAGTGGATTTTCAGGCCATCTTAAAAATTTTCTACCTTTGGAGGCACGCCTTACTTTTAATAGTTCGAGGTTGCAACCTTATGTAAACCTCACCCCTTTGTATATAATAAAGTAATAAACATAAATATATTAAAACGAAGATCAATGTCACGTTTCTAGAAGACTAAGAAAGAAACATTGTAAATCAGCTGCTTCCGAGTAGACCATAATCTAATCATAGTAAACCCTAGATCAAACAGAGTTATGACCCTACCCCAGTAAACCATAGTCTTAATTATAGTTAACCCTAAGCCTACTAAAAACCAATAAAGTTATTACCCCAGAGTAGACCATAGTCTAATCTTAGTGAAACCTAAACTAAACAGAGTTATGACCCTATAAAGAAGACAAACAAGTAAACATAAAAGAGTTATGGCATTTTTTTTTTTTTTAATTAAGTGGGGAGTGGGTGATGCTAGCAGGATTTTTGTTTTTTTTTTTTAACGGTGCCAGCAGGATTGAGGATAACCAGGCATAGAGATGGTACCACCACGACCTAGTCCTTTTAAAGTGAAAAAAAATAAAAAAAAATATGAATATCAGATTGAGCCGGACCGGCCCTATCATCGCCCTAATCCTACCCGGCCCGACCCAACCCAACTCTTGGGGCTACATATTATGGCTTAGTACCTAATTTTTTAGGTTTTTACGCTGGATCGACTAGCCATTGACCCGGCCAATTGCCACCTTGTGGTACTTGAGGGGAGGTCCTTTTTGTATTTTTTCCTGATTTGTTTTTTATCTCTTTTGTAATCTTTTTATTATCTCAATGAAGCTCACACTTCAAAAAAAAATGGGTGCAAATGGTATACGGATGCATCCATAACTTTGGGGGTAAAGTGCACCTTCAAATTTCGTAGTGGTATATAATTTTGATGTAAAATGTTTTTGAGATTATTTTAAAAAAAAATTTTATATCTAATCATATAATTTTAAATTTTTAAAATAGTTAAAATCAAATAGATATGAAAATCTTGAAAATAGACAGTGTAGATAATGTGTTGCAAAATACACTATTTTTTATATTTAAAATCTTATTATTTTTTATCTCTAAAATCTTGTTATTTTTTATTTTTCATGGTTATACATCTCGATGTGAGAAAATCCATCAAAAGGTGTATATAAATAGTTCTATATTGTTCCTTGCATTAATTTTTTTCAAAAAAAATACTGTTGAAAAAATTGTAGTGAGAAAAAAAACGAAACAAAAACTAGAGAGAATCCATGCGGCACTTTTTGAGGAGCCGCAATTATCAAAGCGCATCACCCTCAGATTGTCCACGCGTCATCATCTTTCAAACCAACCTCGAAGAAAACGGAAACGCAACCCCGGGGGCTTATTATATATAACACCCCTGCAAGATCCCATTTCCCACAAAGACCCCAATTTTCTCTCTCTAAAAAGCATACTCCGTCCTTTTTCCTCTTCTCTCTCTAGGAAACCTCTTTCCTTTCTCACACTAAAAAGTCACCCCCTCACATTACAGCGAACCATCCTTACCCACTTTCTTCGTAACTTCTCCAGCGCGTGCAGAAGTTGAAAGACTACCTTCCTCTCTCTCTCTCACACTAAAAAATCATCTCTATCTTTCTCTCACTAAAAAAATCTTCTATTTCTTTCTCTCTCTAACTTTGCCTGCAAGAATTCGAAGAGACCTTCCTTTTCTACTCTCCTTTCCCACAATCTTCTCTCTCTAACCAGCAAAATCTAGAGAGAGAAAATCTAGAGAGAGAATGGGAACGAGGACACAACCCCGGCTGAGCTCACAGACCATGAAGTGGGTTGGTTTGGTTGCAGCCGTCTGGGTGCAGGCGATTTCAGGGAACAACTACACATTCGCCAATTACTCGGCCGCTCTGAAATCTCTGATGGGTCTTACTCAGCTCGAGCTCAACAATCTCTCTGTTGCAAAAGACGTGGGAAAAGCCTTTGGGCTTCTTGCAGGTCTCGCCTCTGATCGTTTGCCCACATATGTTATTTTGTTGATAGGTTCATTGGAAGGTGCAGTCGGCTATGGTGCTCAATGGCTTGTTGTTAATCAAACCATCAGCCCTTTGCCGTATTGGCAGGTGAAAAACGTTATCTTTCTCTCTCTTCCTTCACTTTCTCTCACTAGAATGGTAGTTGGTTTGTTTCTCTCTCTAGAATTAAAGGACATGGCTTCAACCCCCCCCAACAAAAAAAAAAAAAAGCTTCTCAAATGGATTTATAATGAGTGGGTATTTGTTCTTGTCCCTTTGTAATGAGTTCTTCTCTCGGTTTCTCTTTCTAAACTGACTAATGTCTGCCCTACCCTTTCTCTCTGTAGATGTGTATATTCATGTGCATGGGAGGAAACAGCACGACATGGATGAACACCTCAGTTCTAGTCACCTGTTTAAGGAACTTCAGGCGAAACAGGGGCCCTGTATCAGGAATTCTCAAGGGCTACGTCGGTTTGAGCACTGCGATTTTCACAGATATTTGTTCGGCTCTGTTCGCGGATAGCCCCGCGTATTTCTTGCTCATGCTCACCTTCGTTCCAGGTCTCGTCTGCGTGTTCGCGATGTTCTTTATGGGAGAGCAGGCGACGGCCTCCTCCGATCTCGAAGAAGAAGATCAAGAATCCAAATACTTTCTTGGCGTAAACACCTGTGCAGTAGTTATAGCTTGCTATCTGTTGATTTTCGATTTAACAGGGACTCATTCGCAGGCGATTTCTCGGGCTTTTGCATGTGGGTTGGTGCTATTGCTTGCTTCTCCACTGTTTGTGCCGATTCATGCTGCTTATAAGGAAAGATACTGTGATGGCAACAGGGTTGATGTAGAGCAAGCCCTCGAGCCTTTACTGGAAGAGCAAGGGGAGGGTTCAGGGGAAGAGAGAGAAAGAGTGGTGAAGAGGCCTGAGATAGGGGAGGAGCATACAATATGGGAGGCGTTAAGGACTGTGGATTTTTGGGTACTTTTTGTGTCATTTTTGTGTGGCGTGGGGACTGGGCTGGCAGTGATGAATAACATGGCCCAGATTGGGCTGGCCCTTGGCTATGTTGATGTCTCTATCTTTGTTTCCTTGATTAGCATTTGGGGTTTCTTTGGTCGCATCGCCTCCGGCACTCTATCTGAATTCTTCATTAGGTTCGTTTCCTCTCTCTCTCTCTCTCTCTCTCTCTCTTTCTCTCTCTCTCTCTCTCTCTCTCTCTCTCTCTCTCTCTCTCTCTCTCTCTCTCTCTCCTCTCTCTCTCTCTCCTGTTTTTATCATCTCTCTCTCTCTACTTTTTCTCTCTCTACTTTCCTCTCTCTTACCCTCCTGTTTTTATCATCTCTCTCTCTCTACTTTTCTCTCTCTCTACTTTTGCTCTCTCTTACCCTCCTGTTTTATTCATCTCTCCCCTCTCCTCTCTCTCTCTCTCTATTTCTACTTTTGCTCCGTCTTACCCTCCTGTTTTTATCATCTCTCCTCTCCTCTCTCTCATTATACATCAACCCGGCCCGGTGGAATGAACATTGTTTTCGTCAAAAAAACGCTAATATTAACATATATGGGTACCCCATCACAGACTTGACTCTCAAAAAACAAACACTCGGAAAACCGCTTACCGTCCTTTGCACCACACTCCACTTAACGGCCATTGACATAACATACTTTCAAAATTATCTATAAATGTTTTTTTTAAACTAACTCTTTGTTTCCATCTTTCTCTGTGCTTAGCTATGGCTTTTGGCTTTTGGCTTTTGGCTTCTGGCTTTGGCTTCTGGCTTTGGTAATGTTAATGTTGTATGCTTTTTCTTTATCACGTTTGATACGTCTGAAAATATTTTCAGACGAAAGAAGTTCACCATGTGACTAGATGTCGAATGTTTTTTCACCCTAATTGGACGCCGCCCAATTTTTTAATACCCAATTGACAGCCGGTTGGTATAAAAAAACTCGCATCACCTAAAAGTTTTTATTTGAAAATCTTGTAGGAAGGTATTTTCACCCATACCAAACGTGCCGTACATGTTAAAAAAAAAAATAAAGTAATGCGTAGGCTTTCTTCATCAGTTTTGTTGCTCTCCTCCTCTCTCTCCCTGCTTTTCTCTCCCTCTTGCTTAAAACCCACTCTCTCTCCTCTTGCTTAAAACCCACTCTCTCTTTCTCTCTCCTTTTTTAGACATGCCCCATACTTCAATACTCAAGTTTGTTTGTTTTTTTCCTTTCCTTTTTGTGATCTAAGCCATTTTCTCTGTGGTTTTGGGTCTGTTCCTCTGAATATCTTCGTAAGTTTTTATTTTGTTATTTTTATGAACGTCAATTTTTTTGTTTATACAATCTTTCCTTTTTTAATTTTTTTTCTTTTTTTAATTTTTTTTTTGCTCTTTATTTTATTGTATATGGGAAAAGTTTATATAGAGCCGAGGCTCTAAACAATCAAATTGGAGCCAACCTTAAAAAGCTGTTGTTTTGATACCAAAATATCCCCAAATTGATCATCTCCATGTCAAGATGCAGGGATATGAAAAAAAAATAGATTTCAAGTTTTGAAAATAGTGTATTTTATAAAGGATTTTTGGACCATCAAATTTCAAGATTTTCAAGTTTTTATAGTTGAGTTGATCTGCACTATTTTTTGAAGCTTTAAACTTTATAAATAAATATAAAAATATATTTTAAAGCTCTCACGAGTATTTTCAGTATTAAAACCACTTTCTCGATGCTATCTGAAGGTTGGCTGCTTGTTTGGAGCCTAGCTTCCATATAAACCACACCGTTTACTTGAAAGCTGACTCTTGTATTCAATTGCGATTGTGACATGTGATGCAACTTATTAAATTCCCAATACCTTAAAAAACTTTGGGTGGCAAATTCAACGTTTCTTTTTATAAAAAAAAAAATTTATTTTTTTAAGATTTGTTCACGGGAAGGCACAAAAATGTCACAATAAGCCCCGTCCGACACGAGGTGAGACTGCCGGGGATGCGCATTGATATCACTCTAGTCAGATAAAATACTTGTCGTTGTTTAAAAAAATGAGACACCTCCGGCCTCATGATTTTACATCCAATAAGTAAAAGTGATCGTAACTTTATTTTTCAACCAAATGGGAAAGTGATCTTCCTTTAGCCTTTCTTGAAAACTTTTATTTCTTACATTCTTAATTTTGGTAGCTTCTCCTTTGTTTCAATTTTAAGTTGTCCTCCTTAGTACAATGACATGATCCAAGTAACTCTGGATCAGATTCCACTGCCAAATGGATAGACAAAAAGGAAATGAACTTATCGCTCTAGCCTTTCATCCCATCTCTTCTCTTCTATTGATTGTCCCATTTCTCTGATGGATAAGGATACCTCTTGATCCATTGCGGGCAACCGTCCACTGTCCATTCTAGACAACCGACAGTGGAGATGAACCGTACCCATGTAAATGTCCTGTCGGGCTCACTAACGGTAAGCCGCCAGTTCCTGTCCCTTGGGTTACCATAACCATACTGCATTGGAGTATATAGTCATGACCTGATCTGATGAATCTATATGGATTACATAGCATATCTTTCTTCAAAAAACTCATGTTAATTGCATCTGGTGAATTTACAGGAAAGCAGCGACCCCTCGGCCTATGTGGAATGCAGTATCTCAAGTCTTAATGACAGTTGGTTACATAATTCTCGCCTTAGCTTTGCCGGGATCATTGTACATCGGTTCAGTGATTGTCGGTTTATGTTATGGTGTACGATTAGCTGTGTCAGTGCCCACTGCTTCAGAGCTCTTTGGTCTCAAGTACTACGGCCTGATATACAACATTCTCATACTCAACCTCCCTCTTGGTTCCTTCCTCTTCTCTGGTCTGCTTGCTGGTATTCTTTATGATACACAAGCGACTGAGGGCAGCGATGGTAGCAATACATGTGTTGGGGCTCATTGTTATAGAACAGTGTTCATCGTCACGGCTTTCGCCTGTTTAGTTGGATTCGGGCTTGATATTTTACTGGTTTTTAGGACAAGGAGGATATATGCAAAGATCTATAAGATGAAGATGAAGAAATCGAGGGCTTTGATCAAGAATTGAAATGAGGTATAGAAGCCTTGTGTTTACCTTGTTAGAGCTACGATTTTTGTTTTTGTTGTTTTTACATGGAGAGCCTAGGCTGATTTTTGCCTCTGATGGTCTCTCATTGAAGCAGATTACCAGTCCTTTTTCAAGTGTTATAACAAAAATGCTTCCTTTGTTTTCTCTATTACATCCTCAATAATATACATCAAAATAGTCGATTTAAGGAAAAATATACATAAAAATTGGCAGTCACTGTAATGAGCCTCAACAGTTTAAGAGAAAAAAATCAGGACAGTTTAAATCATGCAGGTAGTCCAAACTTTCAGCAGATACCACTCAAATTTTTTTGACCAACTATTGGATGCCTGATTCATGGCATGGATGCTTAAAATTCCAAGCAAAACAGGGCAAAATAGTCCCAAAAAATTAAGGGTCTAAAGAGTTCTAATATTCCATATCTGAAGACCACTTTGCCTGATCTATGAGGATGCTCCAGGTACTATGTTCCAAAGTCCCGAAAAAAGGAAATCCCTTGTAAATGGCAAAACTGACCCATCCAAGAGAGCCTGATGAATGCTAAAATTTCGGGATCCTCATGCATGATAAACCTTGGCTGATTTCTGAGACTTGGGGAGATCACTTTCAGTCGCTTGCAAAACTTTGTGCTCTCATGGAGAGCAAGTCATGAATGAATATCATGGAGAAAATCTGCATGTTAATGTCTGGCCTTCCTCGATTCGATAATTAGTTGATATCAGCATCTAAAGTGAGCGGTGATCTTGTTGAGGCTTCCTAAGATTGTAAATGCAGAAACCAGCAGCAAACAAGCCCACTACAGCCATGCCCATAATGCATGCATTTCCAAGCTTCCAAACGTAGAAGTCCTGATCCAAAATAAGGAGGCAATTTACCTTAAAATTTATTTAACTAAATGCAGTATTATGAAGGGAAAGAAGATTATAACCCAACGGATCATGGACAAGTAGAATACCATGATTCATTGGGCTCTCAAGGATGAATGGTGATGGAGAAGCTGCCAGAGGTACTCAACTCGAACAAAAGCATCCTCATCACCATCCATCATTTCATGGAATGGCCGTACCCCAACGGAATAAAGTTTTCCACAGTCCATGGGACTCTACTACTCGGTACTGTATAACGAGTTTTTTGTTATAGAGACTCACTACGCCCAGAACCAACAAAACCATGCAACTCGCGACTGCGTGATACATGCTCATCATCGCTGCACGATGATCATTTGGTACAAACCTGTGACCGATGGTGAACAGTTAGAGCAAAGTAATTATCAATAGAAAATGGAAAATAAAAATAGTGAAAGTTGACAAAGCTTTAGGCCAGAGTTATAAAGAGGAGGAGGTTTCTCTTTACAAGCTTCTCAGTCTTGCAAGTGAAGGTAGAATGAATCCGACACACGCATGGAAGATACAGAACACAGCAACTAGAAACCAAATCTCCTGTGTACCATGACAATGGAACTCAATCCTTGAGAAAATTCAAAAAGAAAGAAACAGACTACAATAAAGGAAGGGTTAAATTCCCTTCTTTTTCATGGTACCTGATAATCAAAAGCTGGCACAAACAACATGACACCTGCAACTGCAAAGGCCATGATCACATAATCCTCTGTCCTTATTGAAAATGGTCCAGTCACCATCCATGGAAATGCAGTGCTGCCAAGCATCCTTGCACCGAGTAGACATGGATATATCATCCCCATATTGACTTCTCTACCATCAGCCTACATGTATAGGTCAGCAATCAATGCCAATTTTATGGTCCATAACATTTTGTTTTTATGGAAACATGAAACAGTCAAATAACTAGTACATTTGACACCTACCTAAAGCAAGAACCAAGAAGAAAAGAAAAGCAGATGTAATATGCAACGAGGAAGGGAAAAGTAATTGGTGCGGCAGGAGCACCAACCGAAAGCATGGTCCTCCTCATTTCTCCATATCCTGATCCTCGAGATCAAGATTGTGGATTCGTGGTCTAAAAACTGCTACATCTTGAACACCATCTCAATATGCGATCTGACTGTCCCTTACATACAACCCTAGATCAGTCATGTTTGCAATGTACTAGGAGATCCACATCTATTTGGTGGAAATAGATTAGCGAGGACTTAGAATGGTTTTAGTCCTCAATCCATAAAAACAAGGGGAAGGGGGCACATGGTGTCTGCATTGGTCAGGGCACTACCCATGCAAAAGATATGGAGCATTTACTGCAAACCCCATGACCCCAAATAATGTATAAAAATGTTGATCAAGGTTTTAAGAAATGAACGAATGACCTGAAATTTTTTCCATCAGTCAGACAACTCTATTAGTCGACAACCTGCCCCATAGTTCACAACTTCATATCTACCTTAAGCTAAGGGATTTGCCATCATCAGGGCATCTACTACAGCAGCAGCAATGCAAACAAAAATCATAACTTTAGAAAGGGCTGCATAATTCCGCAATCCACAATGCCTAAATTATTTGACTAGACTTAACTCAATCAAATCAACCTTAACTCGGCCAATTTTCTGAGGATTTACCAAGCCAAGACAAATTGCATATGCCTAAGTTTCAAGCTGAGACAATCCCACGAAGTGCCGAGTTGAGTTGACTAGAGGGGATTATGAGTGGGGACCCATTCTCCAAGATCTAAAATCATGGTTTCTCCTAGTGCCTCAAAGACCTCAAAATTAACCCATCGGCACAAGGTTCTCATCTCTTCCACTCTCTAGAATTCTCCACCCAAATATTCCTCCAACATGAGGAGAAACTCCCATCCAAGTTTCATTCTACACCCTCTTAACCCTTCTTTGGCTATTTTGATCTCTCTAAACATTCTCAACCAAGGAAAGCATCATTTGTTTGTTTGTTTTTTCTTTTTCTTTTTCTTTTTCTTTTTCTTTCGTTTGAATCTAAGTCTGACTTATAAATTGCTATATAACCTAGCTATTGTAAACAATTTTATATGGATCAAAGTGGTTATCAATCAGTGAGGGCATTGTCCAGTCCAAATCTGTCAGACTCAGTTTACTAGTCGAACCAGTCTAAATAAGTAACTAGTAAAAAGAAAGGAAAATTATTCAAAAACTGATGAGGAACAGTTTGAATGCTTTGACTAATTGACTGATTAAGACCTCAAACAAGATCGGTTCCAATCCAAGCTCGCAGTCCAACTGGGGTCTCAATAATATTGTTTATACTTAAAACATAATTTTCTTTTTTCCCAGAATTTTAGAAAAACTCAAAAATACTAAAGAAAAATATAGTGTTTCATGGAAAAAGTTGGTATGCTCTTGCAGATGTAAAACAATAAGATATTTATCATAACACCTATGAGAAGCAAAGCCTTCCTGCTTGTGTTTGTCTCATAGTAAATGGAAATGGGAGTCGGAAGCAGGGAACCACGATAGACTAGAAAACCCCAATGGTAGGAAGCGTCGTCCCTACAATGCATGGGATCAAGATCCAAATGCTTTGGGAATTGAGATCCCAACCATTTGGGAATCGCTTTCCTAGCCATTCAGGACAGTGCAAGAAATTATTAAGGAACAGGTTCCATAAGGCAGAAGGTTTGAGGTTCTAGAGTATCTACAACCGAGAATCCCTTAGTATTGGAATTGATTTATTGAGTGGCCTTAGCAAGGGGAGGCCCTCAAATGCCCTAAAGAAGGTTTCCTATCAACAACAGTTTCACATGTCAACTTTGGGGGCTATGGGCAATTAGTTACTATTCCGATTTCATAAAGAGGCTGAAGATCTTACCTCTAATGCTCCAAGGCCCAAGTAGAAGCTGGTCTGCTGCTTGACACTTACCTGCAAACCTTTGTTAATAGCTTAATAAATCTAGACGTTTGCATTTGAATATCGATTCTGAGTTATCAAAACTTTGATCCCATGTTGATCAAATCATGGTTTGGTGCACCTATGAACCTTGGGATTTGAGGTTGTGGAATCTGGATCCCAAATAACTCAGGATAGAAATTCCTAAATATTGGGAGGGATAATTCCAAATTAAACAAACAAGATTCCTTGAAGATCCCTTGTCTGGAGTGCTGGAGCAGATTCCTACACGGTATTGCCACTTGAGGTGAAAGATTCTGGTAACTATGGTTTGTCTTTTTGTTTAATCTCCTGTATATTGTTCCTCCCTCCAATTACACAGATTCTCACATTGAAAGAGCTGAATTCAAGGTTACTCTCAATCCTATTGACAGTAAGAAGGGGGGAAGAGCTTAATACCCTCACTCAAAATTATACTAGATTTGGTTACATTCTTTTTGGGTAAGAAGCCTGATTTCTAAAACAAACATGAAGATTACAATTCATAGACTGGGGATAGACCATCTTATTGTCTAAAGGTATATTATCAAGAGTATGGTCACAGTCACACCCCCAATTATTTGATTTATCAGATGCCTTATCAGAGACATTTGCTCAAAGATAAGAGAAAAACATCTGATGCATTTCTTGAACAGGAATTATATGGAAGAAGCATTCTCTTACAACTCGAGGAACAGTAGAAAGTGCGTCAATCATCTTTCTAGCCCAACAAGCTTTCTTCACTAGAACATACATGCTGATCTTATCCGCTCATACTAAATATAGTAACAACTAACAAGATCACCATTCTATAATTGTCCAATACTGCAGATCTGTAAATTATATCGATATCTGTCACAATAACATACATCATGAATGTTGATCTACCATGCTGAGAATGTCAGCTATAGATCCTTTATAGGAAGACAGAAATAGTGACAATTCATTCACTTACTTTCTTGGATTCAGTGACAAAAGACTTTGGTATACCTGGTTGACACCCATCCTCATTAATTATGGTGCGAGGACCAGTTGTAGTCCAATCTCATGCTAAATTAGGGGAAGAAGGTCAGTTGGTGGCTGGTCCCTGTCCCATATATGGACATGTTGTGATGTCCCTGCCCCATAAAGGAAGACCCTAAAGTTCCCTCAACAAAATTAGGTGTAGGAAACATCTTGTACAAATCAACTGAGCAAGGAAGTACACAAAGAACTTCAATAGGACCCATTTTAGATTACTACAAGCCTGAAAGTCAACACTTGGCAAACCAATTCTTACAGTGTTGAATCTAAAGATACGAATGCATAAGACACACTCCAAAGATATGGGACTGGCCAGTGTGAAGTAAAATTCAATGCATTCCTATGCAATGGAGGTAACAACTTGGGTAAGGAGTTCCAAGATGAGAGTCAAGTTCATTTAAATAAGTTGATTCATAACAGACCTGTGTAAACTGCTTTGGAATGGGTCAAATTTTGCATAGGTATACATTCGAAGGTTGAGGAAGGAGAAGAAGAGGGTCCTACTTAAATATCAATGAGAGATCCTGATCACGAGCAACTGGAAGAACTTAGCAATTCTGAAGCTGAAGGTTTGACAACCTGTGGCAAGGCAATGGTCATATTGGTGGAAGAGACATCATGAGAAATATAAGGCGATAGAATAAAATTGACTTTATAACGAGTTGACATTTCAATAAAAAGGGAAAATGTATCCATAATGCACTGATACAGCAAAGGGCACATCTAAGACATCATTTTCTGGTGGTTTTAGATAATTCCCCAGGTATTGGACAGGTTAGGGAATCCTTTTAGCTAAGAAACATAGATTTCAAGGTAAGGAACAAATAAGAAAAAGGATTAAATACGAAAGGTACACATGAATGAATGCGTCTATGTTTGTCTGCACCTCTTGGTGCAACTTGACCTATACGATCCTCTTCACTTTATTACCATTCCAAGAAACAGGAACAAACAAGATTTTTTTTTGGTTGGTTTATATTTAAATACACTAAGGAACATTGTACCCTGCCCCCCGTATTTAAAAAGCGGGTTTTCTTTTGCATTACCATTTTCCGCATATATGGGTTACTGGTTTTCATTATGTTGCAAAGAGCAAGAGGAAATTGGGAGGTAATTTTTCCGTTCTCCATTTTGCTATCCATAATTTCCCATGAAAGTTTTCTTTTCATTTTCCTTGTAAGGTAGATTAAGGAGATGATTTCATCGTGTTTCGGATAGGGATGGTGCTCAAAGAGAATTAGATAGGGGATGATCCTGAGAGCTTGAGAATTTAGCGGCCTAAAGCATCAGAGCTGCTATTAAGGAAAAGCTAATTCTTGAGCACTAAAATTGGAAGGAAGACTTAATATAAGGAAAAGGAAAACAGTAGATAAAATTAACCACCAAGCATAACATAAATATAAATACACATTTTTCACAGAGTATGGAAGAAAAGAAACCAGCTCCTGACAAGGAACTAATCTTGGTAACTACTAGTGGATGACATAAGGAGACCAAATTGCATAAAGGAATGATCTGTGTCAATAGTATAAGTATCACCTAAGCATGGATCTAAGATAATCATACATGGCATCACACCAACGGGGGTTGAACTAAACCCTAGCATTAGTTCAGCAAAGCTAAGCATGAAACTATACATTGCTAGTAGCCATTTGAATCACTACTAAAGTCGCATAACAAAGATTTCCTAGTAGATAAGAAACTAATCCACTCAGTCTTGGAATCAGTGTTACAGAAACACTTTGTTTTTCCTTCTGCATCACATGTGGAAACTTTAACACGTGTCAACATGCACAGACACGTGCTAGACAAGCTAACCATAGGTGTGTTTCTTATACTGATACAGTGTGTCAACACTAATTAAAATGTGTCTGGTGTTGAAACATGTGGT